GCTGAAATCTTTATCTTTATACCAGAAAACTCTTAGAAATAATTTATATGCAAAACGAGTATTGCCGGGCCAAATTATATATAATGCGTAGTACTGTCCTGGGGCAGGTCCGTGAGCTGAGTTAAACTCCAAATTCAGAAAAGATACATATGTAGTATATATATATATATATATATATATATATATATATATTTAAAAATTTATATTCTAGTTACAAAATTATTGAAAAAAATATAGTGAAAATAGTAAACCAAATTATTTTATAGGTAAACAAAAAACCTTAAACCTCTAATTCTCCTTGATTGATGTATTTCATTAATCTCGATTTCTGATTAATTTTCAATTAATCTCAATGAACCCGAAATAAATTTCCTAACTCCGACGCCCGTACTAACAAGACCTTTTTGGCGTAGCGCGGCGCAACCGTATTAAATTAAGGTCGAATTGAATAGCTAGTGCGGCGCGCGCATTGCAACATGCGCAAGAATTCGGCTATGGAAGGACTTCGTATCTATCTGCAACACTTTCGAAAACAATACATAGAGCTTAGCATGACCACGAGGGGTACACCACGCAGGTCCTAAAAAAAAGCCTGAAAATATACAAATTGCATATAATTTCCACGCGTACACATGCTAGGTTTTTATCACGTGAGCGTTCGTAATAGTAATACAGTTTAGCAAAATGCGAAAGACATAATATTCAAGAAAAAGAGTATCTGAGAGATCCGCATCTTCATCGATTCAATTATTATATGAGTGATAACATCAAACCCCCCGTGAATTTACAAACCTTTAAAAATTAATACGACTTCCACGCGAACCTTTCTACAACGTTCCACTGACGACATAAAAACAACTAACATAAACCTGATAACTAATCATTTTGCGAGATTCATAACTCGAATTGAAAAAAATCGTTTGATCAAAATAATTTTTTATACAAGTACTGAACGACAAATTTATTAAAAATAAAACACTAAACATGTCGTTGAAATTTCATTGAAAATTTGACAAATAGTTATGCTTTTTGACTAGGGCTGTCCAGAATCGTCATTCTCCAAAAGAGGATCCAAGGTTTAAAAAATGAAAGAACGAACCAGGTCCGGTCCCACCCCGAATAAAATTCAGGGCGGCTCCAAAAAAAACAAATCTGTGCCCGGATAAATTTCACAATAATGGTGAAACAGTATTTTATTTAGTGCAATTCATATTTAATGTTCCTACTTGTTCCTTATTATTTCCCAAACATGTGCTTTTTGTGTTTCAACTTGCTTCTGTAAGTATTTTAATTTAATAAATAAATTCCATGTGCATTTCTAATCAGTTTTGTTCTGTGCCATTTCTGGAATTGAAAATTTAATTTATTATTAATTTATTATTGAGGCCAAGTTTGGCTGACGTTGATATTACTTGAAGTTTTATTCTAAACTCCCGAAGAACAAGTTTATGTTTTCACGAGAACATTTCACGATGTTTCATGTTATTCTGAAACGCGTGACACAAAAATTGAGAAAAGAATGTGTGTATGTTTCGACCGACTTTTCACGTAAAATAGTATCCTAATTGTAGAGTATTTTTTGTAGAATTAAAAAGCCTTTACATTTTGAAGTAAGAGGAAATAAACATCGCTTTTTATTAGTCTGATTCTGTTCATTGTTCGTCTTTTGCTAACAAATTTGGAGATTAATGACCTTTCGACACTTGTTTGTACCATACGACTTCTTAGAGAGACATCTGTTTTAAGTGGTTTTAAGCGAGAAAGGCATTAATCTTTTAAAGCTTCCGAAAAGCTCAAACTTATATTTGCATAACGATAAACGATGTATATTATTATATAATTCACATTGTACAAAGTAATTTATTTATTAATATGTATATTGGTAATTAAAATAAAGAAATCTCAAAAACATTAATATAATAAATTATAACAATTTTAAAACAACGGTATTACTTATTGTTTGAAAATAATGACAAACCGTCATCTGAATAACAACAATTTATAAAGTTTCAAATTTATAATAACAGCACTAAATAAATTCTCATAAAAACCATTAGGCCATATTTATTATACGTGAGCAAAGTTATATATACATAGGTACAATTACGTAAATAGCCAATATAGCCAAATAATTAAAAGTTGAAATTCTGGAACCGTTCCACAGTGGTCAAAAACACCAAAAAGCTGACCAACAGTGGCAAAAAAATTTTTTCCACAATTTTTTTTCCAATGAGAATATGTTAAGTATTATTCGTATGACTAATTTTCACTATGATCATGGTGAAACCATGCATGGTATAGAAACAGAGGAGCTCACGCGGCTGTTATCTCTGTACTTTTATAGGAGCGTCGCACGATCAACATCTCGTCTTCAAAATCGTGTTACTTCGCATAAAACTCAACTGATTTACACATTTAAACAAGAAATCTATTCGTAAAGGTATGTTCTTTCAAAATATTCTATCTCATATTGGCTTTTGCATTTTTTCCGTTTTTTACATTCGTGCTAAACTGAAACTGAAGATAATTTTCTAGATTTTCAAGAATAACACTAACTAAAAACTAAAAAATAGCCTAAAAAAGTTCCATCGAGTTCCACTTAGATTTTTATTTTATTGTATTAGAAATATTTGTCCCTATAAGTGGTGTAAAATTCAGCTGCACAAAGTTGAAAATTTTGCTTCGGTGCAAGGTTTTATCTTGAAATTCCATGAAACTTTTTTCAGTTAAAAGTTATGATTTTTTAGTAAGTATAGTATTTTTACTGATAATAGTACTTCCTAATTTATCCTACATTTTATTTTTAGTATAATCAATATCAAATTCGAAAATAGTATAAATTGTAATTTCTCAGAGAAGGTCCGTCATTTTGAATCCGCCATTTTGTTTTCAGCAAATTGAATATCTTAATTGTCATCAGCAACCTCGAAAATCTCCCGTATACATTTTTGGGAGCGTATAAATTGTAATTTCTCAGAAGTCGTCCGCGATTTTAAATCGCGCAATTTTGTTTTTGGCAAATTGAACATCATATTCGTAATCAGCAGCCTCGAAGACAGTAGAATGCAGAGTTTTGGACAAATCGGACAATATTTTCCATTTTGAACCATCTTTTCAGGATTTTTAACCACTGTGCGTTCCCAGCTTTTCAAATTACAGAACCGGAACCGAGCTAGAAGCGGGTCGGTTGACGGCGCTATTTTTGACATTTTGATTCCGAAGTTCTTTTCGTGTCAATGCCTCGATTTTTAAACCATCTAAATTAATTGATCCTTTATTCCGTTTCAACAATTTATATCCAAGCATGCATATGTAATACAAGTATGTATTTATATTTCATGCAGAAATTTCATTTCTAAATAATTTGATAGTCTCAATTACAAATATTTACCGCTATAAAATACCATCCATCCATTCCAGTGGTGTTGTCGAGCCGGAACGCTCCGGAACGTTGTTTCGCTATTTCCTTTTTAAATAGTTCCGTAACTATAAATAGTTTAGCATTGGCAAAACATGAAAAAAAAAAGATTTATAATTTTCGACGATTTTCTATATTTTTTATTATAAACAAGAGTTTGAACCGAACCCGAATCGAAATATAAACCGCAACAAACCAGCTAGTTTTATAGAACCGTGAACCGGACTGGAACTGGATCCGAACTCGAAACGAACCGTGACAATTATATCAATTATAGCGTGCCGGTAAAAAAAAAAATAGCACACCACAGTGTGTAACACTAGTATAAATTTCCGATAGTTGCTTGCAATAATCATGCTTTCTGATGATAATCACAAACAATTCGTGTTTAATTTCCCCACTTCCATTCAGATCTTTTCAAATTCTCCATTCATTTTAGAATAACAGGTATGTTTGAAAACTTCATTAAAAACCATCATATCTATGTCAGCAACAAAACAATATTAATATAATAATATTAATCAGCATGAATTTTTATGTAGACCAAAGTTGATGTACACCAATAATTTGTTCAAAATGTGTAAAGCCATATATGACAAAAAATAACTTACATTGTTCAGAGCCATGATTTTCCTCGAAATCTAAGAAGAAAAGCCCTGAGCTGAATTGCTCTTGTGGAAAGCGATCAGGATGATATGAAAGGAATAATGGATGGTCCTGTAAAGTAATTAGCATGACATATGAATAATCAACTTAACTCTGCACATTAAAAATGTTATTCATTTTAAACTAGATTTATTTGTTAAAGTTATACATATTGAATAACTATATTTTATTTTAAAAAAGGCATATTTAGTTTAATTAAAAACCTTATTAAATTTGATAATTCTATAATATGTAAAATCTATTGATCATTTTACATATAAAGCAATATTAGGATTTAATTTTAGATGATGACACGTACCACAGTAAAAAATTATTATGCCTTTAAATTAAATTTTAATTTATTAATATAAAAATTTGTCATATTACAAAGAAAATATTATTTAAAATGAAATGGCACTAACAACTCTTTCAAATGGCATTCACACCGATGCAGGTTCAAACAATGTGAAATAACCAAATTTAATGTGCTGATATAAACTTAGTAAATTAAATGAAACAAAATAAATTATGATTACAATTATATTTTAACTGAGAATAGGTCGATCCATAAAAACTGTTACCTAGGCTTATTTATAAAGTGGGGAATATAAAACATTATATTTATTCATTTCTTAGTTTAATGTAATGTTTCTAAAAAAAGTTGTCATGATATTTATAAAATCAGATAAAATTGATTAATAAATATAATGATTATCTATTATAAAAAGTTCAATTGTACTTTTAAACATAAAATGATATTTTATTTCTTTAAACAATTACCTTTAAACCTATACTTCCTCCACAGCTACCTGTTCAGTATACCTTTTTTTTTAAATTGAATGAAATGATAAAAGTAAATGTTTGTTTTTTGAAAATTTTCATAACAAACTTAATATATAAATATATACTATATATATTTTTTACATTTCGTACTTGTACAAATATTTATTATAAAGACTTATAAAAACTATTTTTCTCTATTAAACATAAAAGTTAACAAATTGCGATCAACACATATCATATGCACATGTTTCAACTTCAATAGAAGGTCAACATGTGGATGTACTGAACGCGACAAGTGTTTAAGTTAAAAACTTAAAAACAGGAATCTTCGATTTATATACTAACTAAACACAAAAGGTTTTATGCAGTTACTTTATAAATAAAAATATCAAAAATGTTATACATTAGATCTTCTCCAATCTTAGTGTGTTATGAGGTAAAATACAAAGATACCCGGCACTTACATCGCATCCACTCACCAATAAATTCATCAGAACGGAATCCGACGTTTGTTTCATAACCTGAGGCGGCGTCGAGTTGACATTCGCGTTGGCGTTCCGCCGGGAAGAGATCGAGTAGTTTTCCGGAGTGCAATCGAAATCAGATAGTGTATCTTCTAAAGAGGATTGCTGAAATGTGTTAATTGGGTTTTTGCCGTTTAATACTATAGGTATACGTTTATTCGACTGATACGCGGTCGTGTGACGTTCGGAGTTTCGCGCGCGTTTGCTTATGTTGCGCAAACTCTGACTGCTTGGTCGTTTGGAAGGCAGTTTCTCTAAATGTGCGATTTCTGTCCCGGTCGTCGCAACTGTCGTCGGAGCTGTGGTCGGAGCTGTTGTCATAGCTGCTTCTATTTGCAAATCCATCACTTTGTCCAGTTTCAAGCCCCAGGAAGAACCTGAAAGGTAATTGTAATTGGTACTCTCTAATAAAATTTTTGAAACAATGTTTATATTATATTATTTGTGTTTCTTTGAAAGTACTAATTTGCTTTTTTTACATAAAGAATTATTTCAATTTTGCATGCAGTAAATTTCAAGGCATTATGTTGCCAGGACAAGATACATTATCACAAAAGAGTAGTTTTATCATTATTAGTTCTCTGCACTGTGTGCTTTATGGTATAAAATTATAGATAGTTCTTAAGTCACATACTCTTTGTAGAACCAAACAAATCCGTCGAATCAGCACTGAGTAATTGTGCTAAAGCCGATGCCTCCTCTACTAGCTCTAGTGGTACTGGCGACACACTTGGCACAATATTTACATGATTTTCATGCTTTCTCGTCGTATGTATATCCTTATGTAAATCCACATGATCAGGCAGAGCTCCCCACATCAAATCTTCCGACATGAGTAACGGCAGATCGTCAATTCCGTTCATTGGAATGTATGGAGCTCGAATGTCCAAATCTCCCGACAGTAAACTGTCTGGTGTGGAAGTGAAATCATTTTCCAGAGTGTTGGAATTAAATGTGGAGCCTCCTCCGTCTCCACCTCCTCCGTCATCCACTAGAAGTGAAGACGTTCCGGGACTGCATAGTGGAGGCATACTACCACCCCTCTGAGAAATTGATAATACATAACGATTGATATTTATTAGTTGCAATGTTAAGGTATTGATCGTAGTTATAAATAAATTTAAAACAATAAATAAATGCTTTGTAATATACTAACCTTTAATGAACTCGATGACAAGCTGGGTGACAAAGGTTCAAAGCAAAATTTATCAGAACTATTATTATCGCGATAGTCCAATAAATGATCATCGGATGATGAGCTGCAATTCAGGTTGTTATCGACTTCTGCTGATGCCATAAGATATGTTTCTGTATCCGTCGCTAATACAAACTCATCAAAGGCATCGGCTACCGTGTAGCCACTTCCTGCATCTATAGGAGGCTGCAGGGGTATGCAGACATCTCCGGCAGTTGGGGCCAAATGGGTCAAATCCTCTGGCTCTTCTTTGAGTACTACAATAAATAAATAAAAACAGCATTTGTAATTTGCCTAAAATGCGGTGATAATCATAATACAAAAGCTTGTACCAAAGATCCAAATGCTCCGGAATATTTTTACGACGGTGCTCATCGAGCCTATTATCGCAATTGCACTTACTTACTTCCAGAAAATTAAAGAACAAAGAAACAAAACTCCAATAAATCAATCAGTCATAAATCCAAATCCAATGATCCAACAACATTTCTCCGGCCTTAAAGCCAACAATTCATGACTCATCCTACGCAGACATTGCAAAAAACAATTATTCTGCTTCTGATGATTCACGTTCAATCCCGAATCTGATACTCTAGCAACATTATTTTGGAATTTAAGAATATCTTCAATCAGCTTATGCAACAGAACTCCATTTTAATAAATATGTTATCCACGTTAGTCAACAACATAAGCAATGGCAAAAATAATTATAATAATTGCTAAATGCTTACAGTTTATTACCTCACTAAAATGAAGTAAAATGATTTTTTAAAATTTAACTCAATAGATTTCTTATTAATCTCAGAATCACACTTAACAGAAAAAACCTACCTTAAAATTTATAACTGCACTACTTATAATTCAAATCATCTAAGTGGCAGGGCTCGCGCCGGTTCGGCTATATTAATCAAAAATAATATAAAGCATTATGCTCTACCGAATATTTGTGATAATTTTCTATAAGCAACTGTAATTTCTGTTGAAACAAATTTATATAATTTTTGTGTTTCTGCTTTCTTTTGTGTTCCACCAAGATTCAAAATTTCTTGTGCTCATCATCAGTATTCTTCATTTTTCTTTCAATTAGGTAATCATTGGTGGCGACTTTAATTGTAAACATATTGCCTGGGGTTCTAGACTGACTACAGCCAAAGGTAAGATTCTTCATGCAGCCATAGAGCAAAATAACCTCTTCTTTATTTCAACTTGTAGTCCAACATATTGGCCTTCTGACCCAGTTAAAGATCCAGACCTTTTCGATTTTTTTATTGTGAGAGGTATTGATCATTCAAATCTTAATATTGAATCTAGTTACGATCTCTCTTCTGATCATTCTCCAATACTTATGACCTTTAGTACATTTCCTACTCCAGCTAACAACAATCACATTCTTCACATTGAATTTTCTAACTAGACACAATTTAAATTCATACTTGATTCAAAATTATTTCAAAAATCTACGCCTACAAGCGTTATTGATATAGAAAATAAAATAAAATACTTTTCTGAGATTGTACTTGAAAAGCCAAGCAGATCACCCTGAATATTATTCCAATAAATGATAATCTAATAATTCCGAGATTAAGAAGCTAATTGCACAGAAACGAAAAGCAAGACGTACCTGGCAACATTCTCATCTACCAACGGATAAGACATCCCTTAATTATCTCAATAACACGCTGAAAAAAAATCCCGCAATGAATGGAAAAATTGTACATTCAGATCGTATATACTGCAGCTAAATAGGTACGATAATTCCATATGGAAACGAATCAAGAATTAAAGTAAACCCCTACAACAAAACCCTCCTCTGAAAATTACAAACCAAAATGGTTAAATTTGGGCAAAAAGCAAAGTAAGTAGCATTTTTAGCGCCCGAAATATTTCCCAGAATACACCGTTAGGACATTTTCACCAAATGATGTCGTATTTTTAGATGCCAGCCAGGCTTTTGATAAGGTTTGGCACTCAGGACTCATATATAAAATCAAAACAACTTTTCCAAACTATTTCAATAGCTTAAACTCATTTTCGCTTAAAAAATTAGAATCAAAATTAAAGATTTGACTTCGAGCGTTAGAAATTCGGGGCACCTCAAGGCAGTGTGCTAAGCCCATCACTTTATCTCCTTTTTACAAGCGATATGCCCACAGATGATCTTCTAAACATATGCACTTACGCCGATGACATAGCTATAATTTCATCCAATTCTGATATTACAACAACAACTTTTCATTTACAAAATTATTTATCTAGTCTCAAAAAATGGCTTTTAGAATGGAATATCAAAATCAATATCAAAAAATCTAAGCACATAAAAATTGTTTCAATAGAACACCACAACAGTCCACCTATCACGATAAACAGCAACAGCAACACTGTCAAATATTTAGGCATGCACATCGATTCAAAATTGACATGGAAAACGCAAATTAAAAATAAAAAGAAACAAATCCAACTTGAAATAGAAGATTTTTACTGGCTTTTTGGGAAGAAATCAGAAATCTCCCTCGATAACAAGGTACTTCTGTACAAAACTATCATAGTGCCCATTTGGACTTATGGAATCGAACTATGGGATTGTTCTTGTAAATCAAACATAAACATCATTCAAAGGTGCCAGAACAAAATTCTGCGTATCTTAACTAATGCGACTTGATATATTTCAAACTTTTGCCTACATAAGGATTTGAAAATCTCTATAGTCAACGAAATAAGCAAAATTAGAAGTTTATCTTTCATCAGTAAATAAATCCAGCATACAAATCCTACTATTCAAGCGACTCACAGACCGTTAAGAAGACTAAGCAAGAAATGGCCTTGCAATCTCTCAAACACCTAGCCCAATGTGTGCACGCGCCCTAACTTAGTACACGCCATACATCATCACATCATAGTTATGTTAGTACTACTGTTTTTATTTTTCATTTTATATTCAACTTATTGTATTCAACTTATTTGTATTATTTTATTTTTGCATCACAAATAAATTATAACAAAATAATAATAAAAAAAAAGCATTTGTAATTATATAATGGCTAAAATGAAGAAACATGACAATAATAACATTGACAATGCCATCACTTGAAACGGCAGAAAATAGTAGATTCAAGCAATTAATGCTGCATCAAATTGACACGATAAGAAGCTTGTCAAGTATTGTTAATATCAATGATTTAGGTCAACTTTTAAAATACTACTTTTAGTTACCTGTCTTTCCCACTTCATCATCAAACGTAAGAAATCCTGTGTTCATTTCTTTCGTACGCGGCGCGAAGATCTTAGCAGTGGCCGTTTCGGTGCGCAAGGGTATGGCTTCAGCATCGGACAGAACACTGAAGATATCTGCAGTGACCGATGTTGGAACGCAGGGCGGCAAAGGAGTAATCGATGGAAACACTGGATAATTTTCAGTAACTGGTTGGGAATTTAAATCATTCAGGTTATTGTTGGTGTCGCTGGTGGTCGAAGAACATTCGACCTTCACCACGGATTTCGTCTTCTCGCTAGCTGCTAATTGAGAACTGCTGAAGATCTCGTCTCGGTGCAAAACTCCGCTAAAAGAACAAAAATATATGGTTACGGAAGTAAATAACATATGGAAGCTAACTTTTATATTGCAAAGTGGTATCATACGTAAGTATCTAATCATATATGCTGAGATTTTCATGATGGCCGAAGATGTTCTTTACCGAAACCGAGTTGTGAGGTTTATAATAAAACAGTCACGCAAAAAAAAACTAAGTAAAGACGATGGCTGCAACAGTATAGCGTATGTTCTAAAAGCGCGGCCCATTATTGTGAATGCTTATGATATTTTATAATTTAACCAACTTTTTATAGGTCTGTAATATTTTAAGATGTTCGGTAAGACCACGAACCTTATTTTTTTATTCTCTATTTCATTTACAACTGTCCAGTTAAGGACATTTGGTCAATTTGGGGAATTTACAATTGTCAGCCGTAAAGGGACATTTTATACTATTTTGACATGTTGGGAAAACAACAACAGTTTTAAAAAAAAATTATTGCATAACAAATATTTTCGTCAATACATAACATTCTGCCACTTCTCCATGACGAGTATACACGTCAATCATAGCTATAGTCCTATAGCTGGTTAAAAGATCTGCTGATTTTACATTTTATAGAATCGTTTATAATATTATAGGCCTCTCATAATGAATAAACTTTCCAAAACGAGAAGCAAAAACTAGTTTTAGAATAAATGCATTCCGAGTCGAAACAACTTTGTTAATCCGGTCACCCGTGCAACCTCGCTTCTTTAATACTTCAGCAACTGTTCCAACATGCGACATGCGTACCAATAAATAAATAATAACGAATATAGAATTAAAATTAAAATCCGAATTATTTTCGAAATTCAAAAAAGCAAGATTAAAAGAAATTGAAGTAAAAAAAAATTTTGCTTTCCCCAAAAATAATTGTTTTCTCGATACAAGCAAAAGGTTTTTTGAAACATTCACATCGGATGCTTCGTTCTCTCAGAAATACCAAATACCGGAGCTAACTCCGTGTCTCCGAAATGGCTGGACCTGTCTTTGCTAAAAACTCATCAGCACGTCTCCTCATCAGTAGGAATGAAATATTCAAATTGGTTGATCTGTACGCACGAAATAGTCGACGAAAAATTGTATCACACACACAACCGTTTTTTCTAATGTTTGCCAAAATGTTCAAAAACCTTCGAAACGTAAAAATATGCAAAAATTTTCAATTTCGATTTTTGGCGGATTACTATAACTTATACTACGAGAAGTTAATGCTCTCTGGGTCAAATGACCGGTCGTGGTATATAACGGAATACATTAAATATTACTCAAAATAACCAACAAAAAAAAAATTAAAACTATTTTAACAATATATCGATCAGTACGAGAAATTCCGATTTCTAAAATCTATAAAATGATAGATGCTATTCATAACAGGTCCTTTGACCCCCCTTTGGTATGATAAGTATTAATAACATATCTAATTCCGATTAATAAACAAATTTAATAATTTACTACCAATAAATTAAAATATTGTTAAATTTTAATTAGTACCATGATTATAAATTTAGCGAAATTGTTAGGATGACAATCCTAAACAAAAAGAATTTTGAAAATTATTTAATACTATAATTGATATATAAATGCATATAAAATATTGTCAAGAGAAACAAAAAATTGATTCCGAGATAAATATGCATATCATGTCTGATTAGATTAAACTAACTAATATTTTTAAAATCCAGATAAGTATGCTCGTTGACACATGTAACATAAAATATATAATCAGTAATCGAAACATTTCGTTGTGTAACAGAAAAACGTAAATAAAATCAAAATAAATAAAATTTGAATATCATGCATAAATAAATGAATTATACAATAGATTATAAAAAAACAAAGCGCTTTAAAATCAAATATTTTACTTAATGTATTTAATATCCATGTTCATTTTTTTACGCAAACATTGATTAACATTAAACCACACAATAAAAAAAATTAAAATAACTTACCCTACGGGAAGTTAATAAATAAGTTTTATAGAAATATGCTTAATTGTTATCAATATTTATTTTCTGATTGCTATTTAATTATTGTAAAAAAAATGTTATTCAATATCCTCAATTAACAAACCAAACCGAATTATTCTTCGAAAAACTAACTAAATAATTCGATAAAATAAACCCAAAAAATATTCTTGTTTATTTCAAAACAAAAACAAGACTAGAGAGCCTTTGCGAAAAATTATATCAATTATAAATAATTTCAACTTTATGAAAGCAAATCTGATATGCATTCTTTCTCATCGATTCTAGTCAATCTGAATCATCCATTAAATAATTTGCATATAGGTTTGCATTTTTCTTATCGCTTCTGGTCTTTAAAGCCTCTCTGGCCTTGTTCTATTGATTTCCACATAAAATTATCGTTCCTATTTAGATTAGGAATACAATTTAGATTAAGAATGCATTACTATCAATTTCGATTTCAGGACCTTTGTTAAGAGTTGTTGAATACTATCTTATCACACAGATAGTGTGATCAGTTCGATGTTTTCCTCGTGTGTATTTTTCTTCTTATTACTATTTTAATTTCTGTTGAGATTTTGGATATTGTTTTATTGTATCTTAGTTGTAAAGTAGCATTAAATTACAAATATTTTCAATGTATTATTGTGAATGTTTAATGTGTTTTATATATCTGATTCTGTTTTCAATTTGACTTAAGGTCTTATTTAGAATTGATTTGCATCCTACAATCATCCCAATTTGACTTAAGGTCTTATTTAGAATTGATTTGCATCCTACAATCATCCCAATTTGTTTAACTATTGAAAAGTGCATGATTTTTTTACCCTTACTATTTTAGCACTTATAGTTGCTATAATAGTATGATCTGATGATGAATCCAAAATATCTTATGTCTATTTAAAAGTTGAGATGTCCATTTGACAAGTAAAAATTTAATAGATCAAAAGTTTATTTCTATCAGTTGCCCAGCAACTTGGTCTTCCAGTGGGTAAAAAAGAGCATTTCCTGTTTACCAATCTTGAGCTAACCACTATATAAACTTATGCCCTAATCGAATTCCTAATAATCTATTGCTTTTAAATTCATGTCATAATTTAAAAACAATAGATTGGACAATGCAGAAACAATAATATTTTAATACATATTGTAGTAACTACTTTAGACTTTATTGTAGCAACTACTTTAGCAGTTGCTTGAAGTAAGTTTTTTTTTGAAATTGTGTAAAGCATATGCATTATATAATGTGCAAGGGTAATTTTTATTAATATTCCTGATCCAGCATGTGCAGTATTATCTGGGCGATTTGTGCTATAAAAATTATAAAAAGAAATTTTCTTTTTAAGTTAATTAAATTATATACTGTTTGGGATTTTTTTTATAAATTGAGTTAAAGTTAGAGACAATTGTAGCGTCGCCTATAGGTGACACCCGCTTGACGGCCTATGTGTATAAGGGTTCCTTATAGACGATATCCAATGAGTCGAGTTATCGCTCAAAGTTAAATTATTTAGACTTCCAAATTGTAATTTTTAGTATTCTTTATAACTGTAATTTTTAAATTTTATTAATTTTTAATAATTAACAATTAGTAATTAGTAATATGTTGTGCAAAGTTTTGTGCGTTATAAAGAAACTTATACGATAATATCACACTAAAATACATCACACATTTGTATGGTACATACTAATTAGTAACTGGCTGGCTTCAAACAATTATTTACACTTCCTTTATATATCACCTAGATATCTATTTGTATTAGCACAAATTATAGCTATATACAGTCGATAAAAGTTAAAGTAGTATCAAACAGATTTTCTAATTCAAATCTTTTGTCACATTTTTCTACTTTTCATGTTTAGATACAATTTGTTATGAACACACCAGGAGTGAATGAGTCAAGTTGAGACTACATCACTAAGCAATCTTGAATTTTATTAAATTTGAAATATAACTTAAGATCATATGCAAATAATACATGATTAATAAAAATATTCAATAACAGTGTACCCATGTTAATCATTGCAAAACTGATAGCTTAATTTGCGCCATTTAAGAGCAGGTTATGAAGAATTTTTCAATAAATTTCAAAAATTGATTATGCCTGCTAAAATGGTACTTTCTTAATGAACCGACAATAAAATATCGTATAAAATTTTTTAAGCTTTGTGGGAAACGGGTTGGTCGGATGGTTCGCGAGCTCTTCTACTATGACGTAAAATCCCTTGAGAAACAACATGCTTACAAGTTTACACGTGACTGTTAAAAAAAGTAAGCAAAGTATTAAAATCAATATTAGCTTCATTTTGTCGAAAGTTTTATTATCTATTTTGCCAAAAGCTTTACTGGCCATTCTGAGCTAAATTGTTTTTCTACAAATTAGGCTTCTAGTTGTTGATACGACTAACACTAGTATTAATTAAAAGCATCAAACTAAACCATCAGTTGAATCATGGTATCTGTCTGAATACTCATTAGCAAAAGTTTTACTATACAAGAAAACCAAACATATTCTGGATTATGAAATAGAGATCTTTCATAATGTAAGAGCATTATGAGCATTTTTCATAAGTGCTTTTTCCAACTACCCCTATTGTTTGTAAAAGAATTTTACATTAATTGTAATTATATAATTTGGCATAGATTTTAAATTAAACCGATATTCTTTAATAATTTTAATTCATTATCTTATTTTAGAAAAATCTGTTACTCAGTACACGAAGACTGAAAGGGATAATTTTATACGTTCCGATAACGTTAAAGATTTATTCCAGTGATTTTACAGTTATGGGAATGCATAAAAAATATGCATATTTTCTTATGTCGATTGATATTCAAATTAATATAGCAGCTCTACTATATTCTTAAAAAAATTTGTACGCACTTGAAAAATCAAGTTTATAAAAATTAAATAATGAAGTTGTAACAAACAAATGTAGCAGGTTAATATAACATAAATAATGAATTTGCACCCCTACCAACACACACACACACACATATATATGTATATATATATA